AGGATCCGGCCCGGCCCATATCCGGCAAGTCATATCCAGATCCGCCCATTATCCGTGTTTCTTTGAATTTCAAAATCCGGCCCGCCCATGGCCCGTATCTCAGCCATACATCCAAAAAATATCCATAATAATCCGTTTCATTACAAACCGGTTGTGAGACTATCAGCATATCGCCATAAGATCCAAACGTTGGACACTAGGAAGCTATCAAATTGTAATAACAGCAATCTTAGCCACTGCAAAATACATTTTGTGGTAAAAGCTGCATTGCTAAGGATAGGGGTAACACATTGACATGGACCTCAGCATTTCACAAGGTTGGCTATCATTAGAATTGTTAAGAATCTACTGTGGTCTATAAAAGGAAGAGTACTTATTCATATAGCAAAACCACAATCAATTAGTAAGTCAAATGGTAGGTAATAATAAGTATAATACAATGAAAAAATAAAGTTTCATGACATTGGCAACATTCTATATGGGAAAAGGCAGAATCAAAACACCTCAAAACACATTGTTTGGAAACTAGCCTTGGAATGTGGTCTGACACACTCTACAAAGAATTTGACACTGAAAACCCACCTGAAAAGGTAGGTATTAAATAGCCTTGAGCCTGACTTTGGTGCTAAAATGAAAGGAAGATAAGTTAAACCGGCATTTTGTCGTATCAGCAAGACGACACAACACAATACACAGACAAAATTGACGATAGTGGCGCAAGAAAGCAAGCAAGGATTGATTTTTATAAGATCTGCTCTCTCTCTTTATGAAATAGGCGAGCTGATGACGTAATATTGATTCGTTTACCCTTTAAGTTGAATTTCTGATCAGAAAATATTTTTTTGGCGTCATTTACACTGAAAATGTTGATAACATCAGAATTTGATATCGTCTTGGATCGTTTTTATTTCTAAAAAAATCATCCACGAGGCATTGCGCCAAGTTTAAAACTTTTTTTTTGCAGCGTTTTATTCAGCTGGTTAAAAGCTCTGTTATTGCGCATGTGTTTCTAACCTTGCGCAGTGTTTGTTGCTGTCTGGAAGATTGAAAAATTCGAGAACGCATTATCGTTTTTATACATATTATATGGGGACTGTTCTCAGGACAAGTGAGTTATTAACACATTTTTTTACATGATTCGTATCTTATTCAGGAACCAGCGAGCCATGGTGGATATGATGCCATGGCGGTTGTTCTCGCTTCCTCGGTTAGGAACATGGCTGAGTCTGCAGATTTTATGTTGTGACTATCTATATTTAAAAATTTGGTTGGTGCTGCCATATACCTTACAGACTATCATGGCTCACAAAGGTATGCTTATAAATCTCATGTAAATCAATTAATACTTCTGCTGCAGTGCCTAGCAAGTTAAGTTACCTAATTCTTAACATGAATATTGAATGTTACAATTTTATCCGTTCTGATCCGTGTTCAACATTCAATTCCCAAATCCGGCCCGCCCAGATCCGTTCTATTTTTCCAAATTTGGGATCCAATCCTATCCGGTCCACGGATTTATCCGTGGATAACGGATTTATCCGGCCCATGAAGTGCTCTAGAGGAGACGTATGGTTGCAGTAGAAAGCAGTAATGCAGAATGCAATACTTATGGAAGCATGGGAGATATAATGCACCAAATGCGAACACAGCATATAGGTGCTGCTGCTCTATCTGCACTTCTGGGCTCTGGTGGGCCACAACCGCAAAACTGCACTCTTTCGTCTGCCCTCTTAGCTTGTCACTCGATTCCAACACAGGCCGGTGGCAGTGGCCATTTCGACAAGCCCATCCCCTCATCCCATCATCCAATCTCGAGCGGCTCTGCGGCGGCTACGACAGCCTGTATCAGCCATAACCCGCAGCCGGCGCCAGCGGCAGTGAACCCTCTCAAAACGCCGCCACCGTCTGCTCCAAGCGGTCAGCCAGAAACCCGCCGCTCGTCTGTGGTTGCCAGACTCATCTGTTACCGGAGCCATGTGAAGGAGGACAGGGCCGGAGCTGGTCGGTGGATGGTATAGCTCTGGTGTGCTGAGGAAATGTGGTTCAGTGGCGACTGTGGTTACCGAGAGTTAGAACAGATGGCGAATCATCATCTGTGCTCTGCCTGGAGGCGATGAAATTTGACCAAGGACGACACGAAACCAGTCATCGGCGAGAATTTAGTGTGATGGTCGAGCTTCGCCACCCTTTCAGCTGTGAGGCGTGGAGCGGTCGTAAGAAAATAACACTTTAAAACTCAGAGATGCAGATATTTGAAAGAATGAAACGAATGAGGTAAATGTCACATGAAATAAGATCAGACAGTAAAAATTGTTTTAATCTTATTATTATACGGCGAAACTAACCACCACATTTCTCCTCTCCTCACGCGTGTGTATCTCTCACCGATGACTTGCACTCTCAGCACCTAAACGAGTGTTCCCCCACGACGCCCCCCTCTCCTTGCTCCCTTACACACACACACACTGGCTCGATGAGTGTATGTACACGGTGACCTTGAGGCCACATCTGGGAACCACGTCCTGTGCCGCCTACGGCCACGGAGTGCGAGTCCCGAGTATCTCGGGGAGTCACGCATGTCCGGCCCGGCAGACGACTAGCCTGAAGTGTAGAAGGCTGGCTGGTTCTGCGAGCGTGCTGGTAACTTTGGTAATAATTCATAACTTTACCTCTAACTTAGCTGATGACGAAATTATTTTAGTGGACCCTGTAAGTTTCGGTTAAAGTTAAATTAGCGGACGCCTTAAATAACTGTAATGCAGTTATAAGCATTTGCACGAAAAATACCTACGTCCGAACTAAAATGCCCAATCAAACAAGCATTGCAAAGTTTATGAATTATTATGTGCTCATGAAATTGGAGCCGGGAGCATTATTTTGGTATCCTTTCATCGGCTGTTTAGCATTTGAAGTATTTGAAGTATATACTTCAAATCTATAAATTTGTTTTACGATTTAGCTTGCTCAGCCGTTTTATCTCTTTACATTGACCTCTGAGCACTGAATGATTGCACATCGATTGACAGTAGGAAATTAACTTGTCATCCGTCCTACGCACTTTTATAAAGTGCGCCGTCAAAGGCCTGTCAAATAATTTTTTTTCATTTCACATGAAAGATGTGAGATCAGTAGCGGCGGAACACCTTCAATCAAAGGGGGGCACTAGCCGCACTACCGACTTTTGGTCCCATTCTTTCCATGCAACGCCCATAGGGTTAATGTTAAAAGGCCAAAATCAAAGGGGGGCACGGTGCCCCGGTGGCGGTGCCCTCCCCGTTCTGCCGCCTATGTGTGAGATAGGTCATGAGAAATAAGTTTAAAGGGACACTCCCACCTTAACATTAGTTTTGAGTTGAGATAGCCAAATTGGTGGCCATGGCCTGCAAATACCGGTTTGGGCACTCACAACATCGACAAATGCTTTAATTCGGAGATATGGAATTTCAAACTTGCAGTTTTCGGATTCTAAGGGGCTAGTGCATTGGTATGCCCCCTTAGAATTTGTGACGTCAGCGGAGATCTAACGATTTTTAAATCTTTTACTAAAACGTTTGGTAGCACGCGGTGGTATATGCTGCTTTGCGCGCAACAAATGCCGCACTTTCAAATAAAGTCGCTAGGAACAGCGGAGATCCCAAAAAGTAAACAAAAGTAAAAGTCTAATATCTTGAAAACCGGTGAATATTTTTCGATGAAATTTGGTAGATATTCGTTTTTGCTGTTTCTGAACCGAGCGACATCACTTTCGTGCCAATTCATTAACTTTTTTGAAGGTGGGAGGGTCCCTTTAACACCGCCATTTTCTAAGATCATCATATATCTGTTGCAGGCACTTTAGAAAATCAGTCATTTTGTAAAATGCCTAGGCATTTTGCAGAATTCCTGATTTTCCAGGCTTTTTGCAAAAAGCCTAGGCATTTTACAAAATGACTGACTCTCCAGTCATTTTGCAAAATGCCTAGGCATTTTACAAAATACCTAGCCATTTTACAAAATGACTGAGCAGCGTGTTGTGATACGAGTACATACCTAATTATATACGTTTTGGTAGCGTGTAGGTGGACCGAGGAGTCCAGCATTATGACCAGAGGAGTCCAGCAGTGGGAAGTCCATACCTACCTCTCTCTATTTTGAGAAGTGCAGGCCCGCGATATTTCCAACCCCCACGTCAGCGACGCTGCTGGATTTAAAATGATCGATCTGGAGCGTCAACAAACGACTGGCCCTATGCCGGCCTGTATCGGTAAAACCATTAGAGGTCGCGAGGATTCGATCCCACACACTTAGGCGTTAGTGTCTTCTGAAACCAACGCTCTCGTCCTACGCCAAGCGACCTGATGATTCTCCCGATGTGGAGCTTGATATTTTTAACTGGGACCATGCAAGTAGGTACTCAAAGCTGTCAAACAAAGACACAATCAAACAAAGACTACACTCATTCGTTTACATGTAATTGTACATCAGCCGGGCCTGCCTATTGACTAGGGCCGGTCTCCGGCTGGTTTTGTTAGGTCTAGTTTCAGGCAGAACATGAACGGCGTTGATGTACTTCGGAGTTTTTACAGCGTTAACTAAACAGTGCTTTATGCTACAGCCGAGTCTGCAACTCAACCTGGTCGTTACTCAGCATTGTCGTCATCACAGAGCTTCAAATCGATCAGCTACAAGCTGAACACGTACCTATAGGGTAAAGGAAGACGTCCAAAAACTGTTGGCCATAGTATCTGTAGTGGGATCTACGTTCCATGCTGGTCAGGCATTTTGCAAAATGCCTAGTCATTTTGTAAAATGGCTAGCCATTTTGAAAAAAGCCTGGTTGCGTTCAGTCATTTTTCAAACAGCCGTCTTTTTGTAAAATGCCTAGGCATTTTACAAAATGACTGATTTTCTAAAGTGCCTGCAACATATCCACCGCAGCGTTCGACGCCCCCTCTCCTCTGTGCTACAACTGCGACCGTGGCGCCCCTGGCGGCGGCCGTAGAACCAGCTCGACCCTCGGCGCAGTCGCCAGTCTGTGAGTGGTAGTGTCGGAGGGCGCCCGGAGGATACGCGCGGGCCGTACTACTGTGGATTCCTGACCGAGCTCCGCCAGAAAAATGAGGTTGCTGTGGATTCTTCTGCCCATTCTAGCGCAAGGTAAGTTCACTTATAAGTCAGCTTCTGTCTTTGTCACTTTACTGGGCGAGAAACGTCCGCTGTGGCCTACTGCGTTTTAAAACCTACCGACGGCGCAGCTCATGGTTGCGTCACGTCATCGCGGGGTGTCGCTCGGTGCTATAGAGAGCTCATTGGTCATGCACACATTGAGTAGGTGTTGCAAACGACAGCTTTCCCCACCCAAACGGCTCAACAGCTCGTATACGTTCGTCTACCAATGGTTCAGCGGTTCGTATACGGAATAGTACGCTATCTCGCTGCTAGCAGACGGCCCTGTGTTTACAGGAACTGCTCATCTCAAGCTTATTCATTCAATGTTTGGGTTCCACTTAAACATGACATGTTATTACACTCTGAGCTTGTGGTGCGCGATATAGTGGAGGGCAATAGAACATTGATAAGAAAAATGTTTGGTAGTTTATTGTCGTTTTCATCTTCCTACGTCGGTATCTCAAATATGTCGTCTTATAGGGTCATGTCACACAGCGCCTTGGGGCATGTCGCGACCGTTCTGGAGCTCGAGGCCTGGCTGACCCCGCGCCGTCATTCGCGTGTCAGCCTGGAAGGTCAAAGGTCACGTCTTTGTTGGTCAACACTGCTGCCGGTCGCGGCACCGCCCACCGGATCAATGACATTGCCGCAGGCCTCTGCAGGTCACGGCTGGTTGAAATGCTGACGGCGGCGGCGGTATAGCGGCCGTTGAGTGCGCTGGCCGGCGCCGGGGCGGCGGGTGCGGTCAATGGGGAGGCGTAGGGTGGGGTCGTAAAGTAGCCCCCCTGGTGACGCCGCCCCGTAAAGTACCGAGTGTCGACCCCGCGAGCCTGCAGTTGGCCTGTAGCGACCGACTGCGCGGGGTGGGGGGGGGGGGGGGTGAACGAGGGACCACGCTAAACTACGCTCGCGGGCTCCCCTTTGTTGAAGGGCGGAGGGTCGTAGGGGAATCGATCCAGCGAACTAAGGACCGTGAATGGCCTGGATTAGACCGGCAGCACGGCCCGGCATGGTGTCGCCGTGCTCGGGGCTTTGGTAGCGGCGCTGCGAGGAAAGTTTTCAGCCGATAACAGAAGGCGGATGAGGAACTTTCTACCGAGACATTCCTCTTGGTTTGCTGTCACTGGCGAGGTGTAATTTACCGGCTTTAAGTTTGAAACGAGAACCGGTCTGAAATATCTCCGAGGGAATTGCCGTCTGGAGTTCTAAATGCATCATTTGGAAAGATAAAACAAAAAGGACCTGTTTAACATGGACTGTTAAGTATTTTTAATACTTTGACGTCATCTTGCTGAAGAGGCTCTTATTTCCTTTTATCAGTATCAGAAAGAATGACGAATAGAAAGTTCCAATCTGTGAACACCTTCGGCATCACAACTATCACCTCCCCCTCTCCCTCACCTTCCCGGCATGCACTGGGCGTGGCTCACGAGGCGACTACCTCCGCTCGGAAGGCCAATCTGCGCTCCCTTATCTCATCGGTCGTTCCGTGCGCGACAGCGCTCGATCCGTCGGTGTCGGCGTGACGGTGCGGCGGTGCCGCCCCCTCGATGTCGTGTGCCTGCGTGCCACTCCTGTCGCGTTTACCCCCTCCCCACCCCACTCCCCGGTAGTTTGCCCATGGTTGCTCGCCCCTCCCCACCCCAACACGGCACGGCCTGTGGAGACTGCGACGCCCGGACTGGAAGATAACACAGGCTCGGCGGCACAGTATCTTGAAGTTGAAGTGGTTTTGATAGAGAATCTCAGGTGGACGATAGGTGATCCGTTGCCGTGGACACTAGCCGTGGCCACGCTATGCGTCAGAGATATTTGAACTGAAGCGTAGTGGCCGGTTAGAGCCGAGATCTTACGTTCGACCTTGGCCACGCACGGACCATATGAACCATATGCTTACGGAACTATACTGTGAAGAAGGGCTTTGTTTACCGGTAAAAGCGAACGCCCGGAGCGGTGAAAAAGAGACGGGAACGAACCGAACTGGTCTAATTGAGGAGCGTCAGTACGGGTGTGGGAATGACTCCATGGCAGCCGGTGGGCCGGAGCGGGCGTGGGTCTGGGTTTTTGTTGCGATGTCCGGTGGGCCGCGTGCGGAGTGGGCAGGCCGCGGAGGGTTCATTACGCTGCCCAGCCCGGCCCCGGACCGCCTCCAAAGCTGCGTTCTCACACCGAAGAGCCACTCCAATTCGTTCCATACTGATGAGCGACGCAGTGCCGGCAAAAACGAGTACTGCGTTCAATCCGTGGCGTAGCCGTCAGACGCTAACTGGACCGAATTGACCTCTTGTCTCGCTGCCGCGCGTAGTCGGGTCGGCGCACCGTTAGAGAGACCCCACCACCGCGCCGCGGCGGCTGCTGCCGCTGCTGCCGCGAGGCTGGATTACGCGGCATGATTCACCCGCTGATGGAGGTCCTTCTCCTTTCAGTATCCTCAACCATCCCCGCTGCGCTGCCTGCAGCCGTCTCTGTCCCCTCTGCTGTCGGTGTCTGTCCGTGCACCTCTCCCTCACTGCCGTCCGCCACCGTCGGCCCTCCGCAGGGAGTGCGTGTGCGTCGCCGCCGACACAGAAGCCCCCGGAAGCCGACATTCGTCTCGTTTAGTGCCGTCGGAATCATTGGGCGAATTGGGTCAGCTGTGCGGTCGTCGCCCCCGTCCCCCCTGGGCTTCCACTCGTGCCCCGGGCAGCGGACGAGCCCTCGGCACCAATCGGCTGAATGGACCGTGATTGGTCGAGGACGGGCGGCGAGTGCGTGTCCGGAGTACGAACGTACGAGCGCACGAGCTGTCACTGTTCCTCTGTGTCTCTGTCTTTCTGTCTCTGTCAGTCCACGCTAGCTTGGGGCACGATAAGAGTCCACTGGAAGTTGGAACTCCGCTGGGGATCATACTGGGATCTTTGTAGAGTGACTGGAGGTGCTTTATAAATCTTTATAAAGTCCGAAAATGACGAAGTAAATTTTGCAAACGTGATAGTGACGTAAAACAAAATACAATATTTTACTGGCGTAGAGAGACCCAGCTATCTTGTTCACCTAGTAAGTACTTTATTTTGTCAACTCAACTAACTTTTCTGCATTTATATTTTTTGTGATTGCTCCATTCGAAACTGTTCACATCGGAACACTCAGTCGCTCTTTGTTTCACTTTAGTACCAAAGAGGCTGCTGCTGACTTCTTGCCACCTACATCTCTTTCTTCTACATACCTCAGCCCTGCTCAGAGTTTTCTCCTCCCGTTGAATAGTTTTTCCTCGCCCGTTGTTGACGCCACCTTCCAGTACGGTGACGCTACCCAGCCGCCCGCCCGTCCGTCCAGCCGGCCAGCGCTCTGTCTCATTACAGTTCGCTCCCGCTCTGCAGCTGATGCGACCCTCTCTAAGAGACGACCCTACCCGGCTGCAAACCGGCGCGTAACTCGGCCGGCGGCAGCTGCGGCGCGGCTGCGGCGAGTCTGGCGCACTGCAGGCCGAGGGAGAGTGATGGTTATTCAGCGCCGAACGGCGGCGTGGAACGGGCTTATACCGACGGCCGGCGCCGGGGATTGGCCGAGGGTGGTGGTGGCTGGATGACGGTGATCTGAGTAACGCGGGGCTGGGTATTGGGCGCTGGTCACTGGTCAGTAATCACAGGAAACTTATAAATGTTAGATGCTGAGGGTGCAGGATGTCAGAATTGAAATTTGGATGCTGGCAATCGTTTGCTCATTTTGAATTGATGATGAATGGTTGATTTTCGGAACTAAATGGTGCTGAATGCTAGGAGTTACTCTTTGACCATGTGCGACAACGTCTTCGATCAAATAATATCCACAGTGATCGAATGATAACCGTAATGAAGCCATCCCCAGTCTGAGACGCCGGCGTTTCCCAGCCTATCCGATGCCACGCACAGATGTTCGCTGCGCGCCGGCGTGGTGGTCGGTATCGCGCACCTCGACTCCCGCATTCCGCGATTTCGCGGCTCCGACTCTGATGGAACGGCATGGAGCGGCTTCCTTTGACGTGTTCCGCTCGGCGCGGGGGTGTAACGGATCCCTTCTCATCCGACCGTCCTGCCGACCCTCTCATCCTGTCCCTCCCCCACCGCACCACGCTTCCCTGCTCCCGTCTGCCCCTCCCTCCTTACCTGCCTTATCCCTCATCCGCTAGATAGTTCGCGAGCCTTTTCAATCTCCGATTTATCCCTAGTTCGGCCATGTCCCCTGGTCGACCTTTCCTTAGTCTATTACCCATCCGCCGTATCCGAAAACAATACAGAACATCTTATCTCTGTTACTATCTCGGGTTAGTCCCAGCTCAATCCGCGGGACGATTTTATACTCTCCGGGGACGGGAGGAGCGCCCCCGGAGTGTCGGGACGCTCCCGGGCACTCCGGGTATCCCGTGGCCGTCCCGGCCGCTCGTGGCACGTGTCGGCGGCGCAACAGGAGCCGCGCGTGGTGTGCTAATTGCGACCCGGCCGGGTCTGGTTGCGTCGTGTCACGTGCCCCGAGCCGGGGTCGCCCGGGTCCCCGAGTCCCCGGACAGGTTCTGGGGCTCGACTCGACAAACAAGTTGGGTTGGGGACGCGCCGGTGCGGTGCCACGCCGCTGCCCCTGGGGCGAGAGGCGGGGCCGCGGGGAGAGGAGGGGAGAGGAGGGGATAGATGCGGCCCCGACTGTCCCTGGGGGAACACGGGGCAGGGAGGGCCGCCGATGATGATGAGGCTCTCCCTTCGTGGGGAACAGGATGATGTGGTACGCGGTGTGTCAGAATCCCGTGGTGTTTTCTGTCATGTATCACCGCCCTGCTGCAGGAAGTTCAGTTGTTTGCTGGATTGTTTCTGCGGGTATTCACGCATCACGTCATCTGATACGATCTGATGGCGACTTCCTGTCAATGACACATTGCTGGTAATTTCTATAATCATGCTATTATGAGCGAGAGACGCTCAGATAATTACATCAAATGATCTCTCGAGATACCACAATAGCCTCCAGTCATTTTGGTA